CCCAGGGCTCTGGGCAGACCAGGGGGAGCCCATCCTTGGACTCGGGTTCCAGGCACCTGTCCGTGGCAGCTAGAGGCGAGAGAAGCCACGGCTCAGCCAATTCTAAACCAGCGGTTCTCAACCTATGGGTCGCGACCCCTTTGGGGGTTGAACGACCCTTTCATAGGGGTTGCCTAAGACCATCGGAAAACACATATATAATTACATATTGTTTTTGTGATGAATCACTATGCTTTAATGATGTTCCATTTGTAACAATGAAATTGGGGGTCACCACAACATGGGGAACTGTGTTAAAGGGTCGCAGCATTAGGAAGGTTGCGGACCGCTGTTTAAGACGCTGAGAGGACCTTGCAGGTAAAGTTCCTGGTTACCAGCCCACAGGCACTTCCTACTCGCCTGCTCCTTTTCCCGCTTGGGTTTCCATGGCGACTAACGAGTGACGCCGCCGTTCTCCTACTTGGTCATTGTTTCACACGGGAAGTGAACAGAACGGGGTGTCTCCAGGCTTGCCGCTTGCCTTCTCCGCGTTCCTTGGCCGTCCTTCTGGGAGCTGCCTTCCCTTCCTGCAAGGAGTCGGGGGGAACCGCCGGGGAGGCTGCCCCCTAATCCTCCGGCCGCGGAGCGATGAGAGTGTGTGAGCTGCCCAGGCTGAGTCTCCCGGGACGGACTGCCCGGTGGATGGACGGCCGACTCGTTTGTTCGTTTGTTGTCAGCAAAAGAACAGCGTTTACTCCGTGTCTTTCTTTTCACCCCGATATGATGGTGCGACGACGTCACGTATGACGGGAGGCACACAGTGTGATGACTTTGGATAAGTGCATGCACATGTGGCCAGCACGGCCGCCCTGTCACCCAGGGCGTTCCCCGCGTCCCTCGAACTGACTCCCGGCGGCCGCGGTTCTCATGGCTGGCGTGGCCTGTTCTAGAGCTTCCTGCGGAGGGAATCCTGCTGTGGGCATTCTCGGGGGGCTGGCTTTCTTCCATCTTTCACCGGGGAGCCCCTGGGATCCGCCCACAGTGTGTCAGGCGGCTCACGCCTTCTGTGGCCGGGCCAGTAGCAGCGACTGGGCGGACAAGCCACCAGTCTGTTCTCCTGGGCAGTGAGTCAGGGGTGTGGGGTCAGCAGGCGTGAGACCCAGTGGTGCCTGGACCTCCCAGGCCACAGAGACGCCTGCTGCTCACTCCCGGTCCCGAGGCCTGGCTGCCCCGCCCCCTCCTCTGGGAGCGCCTCGCACCTTCCCAGAAATCTCACTGGAGTCGTACCTGGGCCTTAGCCCAGTGCTGCTGTCTGTGCTGAGAGATCCCACCTGGTCCGTCTGCCGTGTTATTCCACCTCCTCAGTGCCTCCCCTGTAGCACCCACAAAGGGGACCACCGGGCCACCGGCCCTCTCTGCTCCTCCC